ATGAGAAGCTCCACCCACAGGGACAAAAGCACTCGGGACGCCTTCCTCTGCTTGTTTCTGTTCTGGGATTGGGTGAGAGAGGGTGAGGGGAAGGGGGGAGAGAGAGCACAAAAATCTTAAGACAAACACAGGGCTCAGAGATCAAAGTCTTGGTGGTTTTAGTATCAGCTTTGTCATTATTGAACGCAAGATAAAAGGGTAAATGTGCAGCGGCGTGAGGGAAAGACGAGGAGAGGAGGTGTTTGAGAGGTTTCTGATCCTCTGTGGCCATCAAAGGGACTCAGGCCAAAAGGTTAAAGCTACAAACAAAGTCCAAGCAGATCTACAGGTGATTATTGAGGCTTTTACTTAGATTTACCTTACTGTTCTGAGTCTTGAAAAATGGGGCAATTTGTGAATAAATAAGACCATGTCATGTTGTTTTTATCTTTGGCATCCTTGTAAGAAAGAGCCCTGTGAGCCACTAATTGGGGTGGGGGTTGATCGGCTGAGTGAGGGTGGTCCTCTCTATTTCATTTTTTTGTCTAAAAAATAAGATCTAAAGACGTGACATATCGTCCAAAATACAAAGCTAGGAATAGAACAGACAAAACAGGGGTTTTGTGAGAATTGTATGTTGGAAGATACATAAATTAGTACATACGACTCTGAAGATAATGTTTGCAAGATTACACGTATTTCCTGCTGTACATAAAATGTGTTTAATATTTGGCGTGAGCACGAGGTGGTGATTGCAGGGATATTCCCCCTGCCTGTAAGAGATTATGAGATGGAGCCTGGACCCTGGTGGTGGGAGCTATTGGAGAAGGGTGAAAGAGCTGGTCTGACCGACGAAGCGGTGATGGGGAGGAGGAGGGTTGCTACATGAAGCGAAGTGAGTGTTATTGACAGATGGAAGCAGAGGACTTGAGCGCAGTGAGCTTAGTTCTTTCTGTCTTCAAGTCTGAATTTCCACTTCATTGCATATGTTGAAGTAGTATATTTTGTACTGTGGACCCCTGTTACATCTATATTACTTCTAAACAATTATATGAAGCACTGTCTTTTTTTTTTTTCGATCTGAAGGGACTCGAAACAAACTGCTGCCTCTATCTTCATTTCTCGACAGAAGCTTAAAAATGACAATAAATCACACATGTAAAGTGGTGTTTTCAAAATGCCCTATGTGTGTGCGTGTGTGTGTCCTTAGACCCAATTCAGGACTTGGCTCGTGTTTGTAGTTCGTCTAAAGTGGGAACATTCCTCATGGGCTTCAAAGTGGCACTGGTCCATTTGCTCCGACAGCTCCTGGGGTCTGAGCTCCAAACTGCTTCTCCTTCCTCTGTTTATCTACTTTCTACAATGACAACATCCACACGACGACACCTGTTTCTGCTCTTGTCTTTGGTCTGTGCCACCACAGGCCTCCTCTCGGTGCATCGACACAGACCTACAGAGAGAGGAGACCGCAAAGACATTCTGGAGATGCTGAATATCGAGAGGGTTTCGGCCAGTTTCCAGGGAAAGCCTCACCCCTACATGAGGAGCCTCTACCAGCGCCTGACCTCTCTGCAGGGTCAGGATCCTGACCGAGCCGAGGGGACGGTGGCTCAGAGCGTTCGCATGAGTAAAGGTATGCTGCTAATACTACATTTGTAAAGATAAGATAAGATAAGATAGACTTTATTGATCTCACAGTGGAGAAATTTACATGTCACATTTGGCATAGATAGAATCACTCAGAGTGTGTAAAGTGTGCGACATGTTAAAGATAAAAATATAGTCTGTGCGTGATATATTATGTACTATGAAAAATGGCAGTAGCAGTGCTGGTTTTTCAGTCCTAGTGCAGGTAATTAGTGACTTAAATTGACTTATTATAGCATTAATATTGTGGAGTCTGACCTGCATGTTTTGGACTTTGGACTTCTGTTATATCTGTATTATTACAAAAAAAGGGGCCACTTCTAAAGACCTTCTATGACTCTGTGGTGGCATCAGCTTCTTGTACGGTGTGGTCTGCTGGAGCAGCAGCATCACAGAGAGGGAAAGGAAGACGCTGGACAAGGTCATCAGGAAGTCCAGCTCAGTCCTGGGCTGTTCCCTGGACACAGTGCAGCAGGTGGGGGACAGGAGGGTCCTGGACAAACTAACATCTATGCTGGACCATGACTGTCACCCCCTGCAGGAAACTCTGTCTGCTCTGGAGAGCAGCTTCAGAGACAGACTAATTCACCCTCGCTGTGTGGAGGAGAGTTTCCGTAGGTCTTTCCTTCCTGCTGCTGTCAGACTGTACAATGAGAACTGCTGAGCCTGTAAATTTTCATTCATTTGTAAATAAGTAAACACTTAGATCATGTGCAATGTGCAATACTGCAACTTCAGGATGTCCACTGAACAATGTCACTTTACTTTATCTACTTATTATCCTGCCCTGTATGTAGTAGAGTATATAACTACGCACTACTACATACACACACATATACAGTATATAAAGAAAATAATACTGTCCTGTATTGTTGTTATTGTGTTTTGACGATTTCCAAACACACAATATGTTTCTGTTCAGACCCAGACAACAGCCCACACGGATGGCTCTGGTTCAATATCCCTACGGTGTCTCCATCCACACGCGCAGCAGAGCTGGTCCTCTTCAGAAAAACCCTTCACCCTCTCCCCCTGAACGTGACTGTGAGCCTGCACTCCCTCCGCCTCCCCCAGGACACCCCTCCACAGCAGAGAGAGGCCCTGCAGGAGAGACTGCTGAGCCTGGACCGGATGCAGCTCTCTGGGTATGACCTGTGGGATGTCTGGGACGCAGTGGCGGATGGAGGAGAGGAGGTGATGGGTTTCCAGCTCAGGTACAGAGATGAAGGCGGGAGTCTGGTTCTCCACCACGCTCTGACGCAAAGTTTGTACTGTGTGGACCCAGAGGCGCTGAGGGGCCCTATCCTGGTGCTGTACGGGGCCCATGGGAGCGAGTGACATATCTGCAAGTGTTACTGATATACATTCCCTCATGTGCTGTTAAAGATGGAGACAAATCTTAACAATGTAATAAAATCCATGCAAGAAGTTCTTCCTTTAATATTCCACCACATTTTTTAATTACAATATTTTATTTCAAAATTGGTATGGAGAAAAATATTAGAGATTAGAGACATAGACTTTGATATTCAACCCAGAGAGCAAACTCTTAATTCATCTCTAAAACTCTACATATGTCATTGATTATTGTCTGAATAGTTGTTTTTCAGTAAATTAAAGTTATGTACACAGTTTTTGTCAAATTCTTTAAAAAAAAGAAAAAAATCAAAGCTCTGATGGTTCATTCAGCGTCCCACTTGTTGTACATAAGTGTGTGGCGCCCTCTGGTGGACAGACCGCATATGACAGCTTTGTATTGTTTTGGTAAATGGAGCTGAGCGGAAGTGGCCCGCCCTCTCTTCAATCTGATTGGCTGTTCTTTCAGTCTTTCAAGTTTCCCAACAACCAATCACCGCCGAGCTCTGGGAGCAGCAGATGCCTCCACTTCGATGAGCGCTCTTTTCTCGCTCTATTCAATAATTCTACATTTTTCCTGAGCGGACGTCGGCCCTTCTCCCCCATAAGACTTGGTTCTAGAGTCTGTAAACAGCGGTCCTCCCGCTGTGGGCTCCAGGCGGCTCGGCATCGGGAGTGAAATGCTTCCCCGGGGCACTGAACCTGCTCCATCCATCGCACAAAGCCTGTGAGCAGGCCGTGTTCTCTGTTCGGCCCGCTGACGATGAGCAAACATGTCGGGGAACCACTACAAGGGCCACGAAGTCAGCTGCTGCATCAAGTACTTTATCTTCGGATTCAACATCCTTTTCTGGGTAAGGTTCTCCGCCTGCTCCGTGCTGCTCTCACGGCTCCGTTTGGTGAAAGGGGGAGGCCCCAGCAGTGGCCCCGGCATTGGCCCGTTATCTGGGCTCCGCTCTCTCTTCTCCCCGTGTTTTAGGAACATTTCCGTGGGAAAAACATGGAGGAGCGGAAACAGCTGCCCTTCAGCTGAGAGCTAATCGGCTTTTTGTAGTGAACTAATGACAGCTCAGCGCCGCGGATCAGCTGCATATTATTCAATGTAGAATAAAATATAGAGCAGTAGCAGAGGCAGATTCAGCACAGATGCAGATACAGGCTGGAGCCCACAGAATGAGGCCCACACAAGCAGCGAACCTCAGATAACTTATCTCCAAGACACAGGAGCAGAGCGTGGGAAAGGGATGTGTCTCAAATGCGTCATTACGTACTCGGAATGTGGCGAAAAGAGAAAAGAAAGGAAACGGAAAATACTAAAGCGCTTTCATAGCAGAGAAATTCAGTTTAATTTTCAATCTGTTTGTAAATAGTCAAAACGTAAATGAATAAATGAAACGTGAGATGCTGCCTGCTGGGTCCGCACTTGTTGTTGTCGCTCTGCACGAACACAAGGCCAGTTCCTTTGTTTATACGCAGAGGAAGTCGCACTCATCCCGATTCTTTCACCTCAAAAACATTACCACACACTATTCAGCGAAGCCTCTTCATTTCCTATAGTTCAGAGACGCTCTCAAACCAACCTGATATATTACTATAGGGACAATGCCCTGGCAGAACAATGGCCCTCTCTGATTACAAGTGTCACTTTGATTGGATGTGTTTTTCAGCTCCTGGGCATGGCCTTAGTCGCGATTGGTCTATGGGCATGGAGTGAAAAGGTACATATGATAATTACTGTTTTATACCAGATGTGTTTCTTTTGAGGTGATTCAAAGCCAGCTGTTGTGTTGTCGGATTGAATTAAGACTTTTTTTGTTTTGCTTGGTCTTCTGCTTTAGGGTGTTCTCTCCAACATCTCGTCCATCACTGACCTGGGGGGCCTGGATCCCGTCTGGCTCTTCATGGTGGTGGGAGGGGTCATGTTCATTCTAGGTTTTGCTGGATGTATCGGAGCGCTGCGGGAGAATACGTTCCTCCTCAAGTTTGTGAGTGTTTTCCTGTTTTTTAAAACGGATACTGAAATGGAAATCAGTGTTTCCTCTCTGGTTTAAAATATATATATATATATATTCTGCAGACGTTCCAGGGTTAGATAAATGGAAGTCAGCAGAAAAAATAACAAATTACAACCATTTATGAAATCAACCCAACACTGTCATGTTGTAAAAGTAAAAGTCATTTCAAACATTGTTGGAACTAATGGAGAAAGAGAGCATCAGGAGAATGGGAGTGTGTGTGTGTGTGTGTGTTTTGTGTATTTGTGTGTGTCTGTGTCTTGTCTGTTTGTTTGTGTGTGTCAGTGTCTTGTATGTGTGTGTGTGTGTCTTGTCCGTGTCTGTGTCTTGTCCGTCTGTGTCCGTGTGTCTGTCTGTGTATGTGTGTATCAGTGTCTTGTGTCTGTTTGTGTCTTGTCTGTGTGTGTGTCTTGTCTGTTTGTGTCTGTGTCTTGTTTGTCTGGGTGTGTGTGTCTTGTCTGTATGTGTTTGCTTGTCTCTGTGTGTGTCTTTGTCTTGTCTGTGTGTGTCTGTGTCTCTGTGTGTGTCTGTGTCTTTAATAAAACCCACATTAAAAGCATTTCCATTCACTGACCGATGGATGCCTGTGGCCGCAGTTCTCCGTCTTCCTGGGGATCATCTTCTTCTTGGAGTTGACCACCGGAATCCTGGCCTTCGTCTTTAAGGATTGGATCAAAGACCAGCTCAATCTTTTCATCAACAACAACATCCGCGCCTATCGAGACGACATAGACCTGCAGAACCTCATCGACTTCACTCAGGAATATGTACGTCTGTAATCTACACATCCAAATCTACTATTATATTAAGTTGTAGATACTCAACTAATTCTTGATTCGATTCAAAAAGGTTCATTTTGTCGAGAGTTGAAATGTTAAAACTCAACAAAATCTCTTTGACCTGAGATTTTTCAACTCAACTCAAAAACGGCATTGTCCTCAAGGAGAAAATAGTTTACAAGTAGTTGAGCAGTAGAATAAATATGTCTCCATCTACAGTATATCCCAAAACCACATTTTAAAAAACGCTTTAAGAGATTATGGCAGAACTAAAGGTTTTGACAGGCTGTTCACAGTAAGTTGGCTTTAAGATAAGACAACAGAACTTTTATTTGTCCCGCAGTGGGGAAATTTTAGTGTTGCAGCGCACTTACAGGACAGTAGCAAGAGCACACACTGCAAAAAGTGATGAAAAATGAGACACAAATGGCTAAAACATGGCTAAATGTATCTTAATTTGAGCATATTTTGACTGAGCTTTAAAACAAGATTTGCCAATGAAACGGAGCATAATGATCTTGTTTTAAAAAGATACAAGAAATGTCTCCTTTGGAATGGGAAAATAAAGCAATAGTTCTTGGAATTAGACTAAATGGCTTTGTCCCATTGGAGAATCTTGTTTTAACATTGTCAGAATGTGCTCAGATTAGGCCAGAGCTCTTGTGTCTACTATCTGGTGCACACTGGGGTAGTCTTGCACAGTTTTTCCAATGTGGTTTTACTGCAAATGGAAAATTAAATTCTTGAATCTTGAAATTAGGATAAAAACCACTCGATTCAAGCATTTATCACCTCATATTTTATCAGTTTTTGCAGTGTACAGGTAGCACACAAAAATACAAGTAGCTGCTATGTTTCTTAGCTAGCTGTAAATGTATCTATATATAATGTAAAGTTATAAAGAGGTTTGTGCAGAGTGTAACTTATTGCGTTGCTGTAGTGGGATTGCTGCGGAGCGTTCGGAGCCGACGACTGGAACCTGAACATCTACTTTAACTGCACGGACGGGAACCCCAGCCGAGAGAAGTGTGGGGTCCCCTTCTCCTGCTGCACCAAGGACCCGGCGGTAAGTGCCCCATACAACCCCATACCAACCCCCGGACTATAGGACCCTATTTTTATGAAGTTATCAGAGTAAAAGAAGGGATTTGGACGCAGCTGTTGATCTCTAGCCTTCTGTTACGTAGCGCACATAATTAGTGGACTTAATAATTAATTTGATTTTTTTTCAAGCTGATTTTTGCAGATTTTTGCTAACTTGACCAATCCTGGATCATTTAGACCAGTGTAGACCCTAGTTTTGAATCTAAAACGGTCCACTTTTAATCACTGTGTTAAGACATTTTGACCCAAGGGTAGCACAATGGTTAGTGTGTTACAAAGTGTTACATTAAACATGAAAACCTGCGGCTAATACTCAATTGAGGCTTTTATGTGGACAAGATTCACTTTCTCTTCAAATGTAGCTGGTGCGGTTTATACACAGGAGCGCCTTATGGTCAGGGCTGGACTTTCTGGACTTTTTTTCCCTGTTATTTATACAGTAAAAAGCACATACTGTAGAGGATCAGGATGTATGCGGTTTCAACAATTAAAGTAAAGTGCAATGGTCGACGTTGAGAGCAATGAACATGTCACTACACAGACAGAGACAGAGGGAGACTGCTGTTTGTTACAGGGAGAGAATGGAACATGAAGTCTGAAATGGCTGTCATTAGATCTGTTTGATTTGTTCACAACATTTTACTTTTAGGCACAACCAACATGAACTGGCAGTGCAACAGGAACATTTTGGTACTCCAGCTTTAATTTAGCAAGTTTAGTCGCACTTTGGGAGGAGACACGAGGGGCCAGTCCATCCCTCCTTTTGTTTCAGAAAGTGCTGTCAAATCGTCTCATAAACATTGAATTTGTTTCCAGGAGGATGTCATAAATACTCAGTGTGGATACGACATTCGAGCGAAACCAGTGAGTATCGTCATTATACATTATATTACTTCACTTATGCTCCACTTCCATGACTTTCTGAAGCCTCGTGTGTCAGGTTTATAATCCTACTCTGTTCTTGTGCAGGACTCGGAGCAGAAAGACTACATCAATGTGAAAGGGTGCGTCCCGCAGTTTGAGAAGTGGCTGCAGGACAACCTCACACTGGTGGCTGGGATCTTCATTGGAGTAGCATTACTGCAGGTCAGTCTGTTTGGACAGGGGCAGGGTTAAGGTCAAGGTTTGGGCTTGGACCAGACCTGGGCAAAGTGTGGCCCGGGTGCTATATGCGGCCTGATTCATGTTTCGATGTGGCCCTCAAAACTTTTCTCTATTAACAAAATTCAAACTACTGTGATGAATGCAAATGTATGTGTTGTAAAGCATGTGAATCCCTGTCCTAAGACACATTTCTTATTTTATGCAGTCTCTCTCTTTTTAAATGTCTATTCAATGAAGGTTTGCAACTTCGTGACAGCTACAGAGGCATGTTAGACCTCATAATAATTCATCAAATACATTGGTCCGCAATACTGAGCCTTCTTTAGCTTTGGTTCAGTCCTAGAAAGAATTTAAATTTAAAGACGTCTAAAACATTATCCATATTGAATCACATTTAAAATCCTCAAAGTACGACCCATTTTGTACAAGGTTAGAAGAAAAATATAGCCGCAGATGCTAACTATGAGCTAACACACTTAACTCAAAGATAACATTGGATTCTTCAGCTTTTCCGCTCTGTATCTTCTGTAAATATTTGTGTTTATCAAATCCTCACATTTTTGTTACATTTTTAACAGAACTAGCTAACACTCAAATATGTTGTTCAATATTAAATCAAACGCCAACTCCGTGAAATTAAGTTTGGCCCTCCACAATGTACCAATATCCCCCCGGAGAAAATAATTGCCCACCCCTGGTTTGACTTTGTCTCTAGACCTTTGTTGCCAGGTCAGACTCACTCATGTCCCGTTTCTATCTTTTTCTCTGACAGATATTTGGAATCTGTTTGGCCCAGAATCTTGTGAGCGACATAGAGGCGGTGCGTGCGAGCTGGTAAGTTCTCCTCCTCTACACATGACTCTTATGTCTATTTTTCTAAAAGTCGTACAGGAACTAGGGCTGCACGATTTTTGGCGGAATATCTTGATTGCGGTGTTTCTGACCAACGATTGCGAATGACTGATGACTGTTTGTTTGTCTCACGTTGTCAGAGCAAAACCAACTTCTACAGATTCCAGAACATGTTTTTAGAGCCTGAAACTATAATACAACCATTTCTTTAGTGAGAAAAGAGAATTTTATGTATTTCCACTAAAATTCTTCTCGTCAGACCTGACTCGTTTGGACTGAGGAAACAAGATTAAATATTTTTGCTTGTTTCCTTGACGACTCTTTTATAAAGTATATTAGAGTTTTCTTTGCTCATTTTTAATTAAATTCATTATTATACTTTTGTACAGCCCTAAATCACAACAGCTGTCGTCTCACAAAGAATCAGAAAACTGGTCAATAATGGTTTTGTGTTTGTAAAGAACTTGAAGAAATAATGGTATTCTTGTATTTTAACTTTTAAAAACGTACTTTTTACTTGTACTGTAAGGCGATCTGGAGTGTCAACAAAGGTTCATAAGACATAACTGTATTATTATTATTATTATTATAGTCTGAGCCATTTGAGCGCAAAAAAGGTCGATTGTGATTAATCGTGCAGCCCTAGATACACGATGTTGAATGAGTTTTTATACACTATCATCAAGAGTTCATCTGCAAAAAACAGAAATCTCCTTTTTCAAAATTTGTCAAAAAGTTTTATTCCTCTTGCCACAATTTTCACCATGTTTTTCAAGGTATATAGGAGGATGTTTGACTTCCGGGTGGATCATCAAGACGATTCTGGTGATACGTGCTCGTCAATAAGACCAGAGATTTTTTTGATTAATTGGAGATGGCGGTTCTTTCCTAAAATTTGGACATTTGAAAAAAATTGCTTAAGTATGGGTTAAACCTTATTTGCCTGGCAATAAAGTAGATCTGTCTTCTCAAAAAACGACTTGGTAAAGAGCAAATTAAATGGCATTTTTCTGTTTTTGCAAATGATCTGTTCATGACTCAGACTGAGCAAAGAGAATTGAGAATCCTGTTTGTCAATATTGTGCATTTGTCCATTTATTCTCACAAGTGCCTTATAGAGACATGCTGTAAGTGAGAGTTGTCTTTGATCGTCTACAAAAGAAGATTATTTTTATTGTTTTATGCAACTAACATTTCCAATCATTTCCTGGAGCAGTTTTGAATTTGTTTTTCGTCAAAATGTTGTACTGAAAAACCTTGAATATGAGAAAGTCTTACTGAATTTGACTAAGATGACGCTAAATGTTACTCCAGTACTTCCTGATTTACATAAAGGGTTGTACTTACAGACAAAACAATAACAGTGCATGTTTCCCGACCATTTAAAGCTGGGGTACCTAACTTTGAAACCACAAAAGTCCCTATAGTTCTCATTGAAGCAGCTTGATTCTCTCTAGTTTTCACATGTATGTATATTTAGCTTCTGTCACATCTTTAGATCTGCAGAAAAGAGACGGAAAAGTTAAAAACAGAGGACTACACTCCCTCAGCCAATCAGCTCTCAGCCCACAGAGTCATAAAATGACTCACAGGCTTTTTCTTACAAGTACAGTGGTCCGATTAGTTCACAATATGTTACTTTTATCTTTTCTGGGCGGAAAAGATACGATTATAGAACTTGAATGCGTCCAAAAGTGGGGGAAATTTCAATGTTGTAGCAAGAGCAACAGGGAGAACACAAAAATATACAAGATAAGTAGCTGTTGCGTTTCTTAGCTAGCTGTAAATGCTACGTAAAAGCAGCTAGCTATCATATCTACACATATGACAGGATAAACAAAGTAGATAAAAGACAATTGCAGTATTTACTAGTCACAGATGAATGACAGGTACAGGCTCAGCAGTTCTCATTGTACAGTCTGACAGCAGCAGGAAGGAAAGACCTGCGTAACCTCTCCTTCACACAGCGAGGGTGAATAAGTCTGTCCCTGTAGCTTCTCTCCAGAGCAGACAGTAGAAGTAGTAGTATTTTTGAGCAGTTTGACAATGTGTTTTGAGTGGTTAAGTTTGAAGTGTGATACAAAAGTTAGATACCCCAGCTTTAACGACTGATGACTGGATGAGTTGGACTTCCACAACCCATTCATAGACTTACTCGCTCATAACCGCCTGTAACTCTCCACTCCACATGATGGGTCCATTGTTGCTGTAACGTGTCCATCTCATGCCTCACCCGCCTCACCCTGTGCCTGCTGCGTGCTTCAGGGTGCCCCCCCCTCTGTGCATTCGCCGCCTCCCGCCTCACAGCAGCAAGAAGGCGGCGTCTTACTACAGATGATCTATGTGCACATGCTGCTAGTGCCGCCGGTGGGTCTGTGCTCGTGTGTGCGACTGGGGGATAGGGCAGTGAGCGGGGCCATTGTCTGTGTGTGTCGGTGCGTGTATGTGTGCGTATATCTATATCCGTGTCTGTGTATGTGTGTGTTTGTGTGTCTGACGGTTTGTATGAGTGTCTGTGTATCTGTGTCTGTCTGTGTGTGTGTCTATATGTTTTGGTGTCTAGAAAATACGGGAAAATAAATATATTATTTATTGTGTGATTTTACTCACTGTAATTTCCTGACTATACTACTACTACTACTACTTTTCTAGTTCTTTAAACCCAGCGGCTTTAAAGAACCCAGCATAGGGCTCACCAAATTTTCTTTTTTGCCAGACTCTGAGACTAAAGTCAGAATATCTTGACTTTAGTCTGAAAATGTTATGAAATAAAAAGGCAGTGATTAAAAAAAACACATAGGTCCATAAATGTCATTGTAATGGATTTCAGAGATTAGTAAACACACACACGCAGTGCCTTGTATGATTCGTAGAACAGACCTGTCTTTCTCTATGGCCTTTTCTTCCTCCGTCTCGTGTCCAGTTGTATTTGCATCGTCATAATCTCCTTGTACTTTTTTTCCTTCTCCTTAGAATAGACAGTTGCTGAATCCACCTGTTCCAAAACTACCACCACCACCACAACTTATATATTTCTCATTTAAACTCCATTTTTCTTCTCTTTCGCAGCTTTTTTACCTAAAACAAGCAGCATCCACATTGACAGGTATTGCACATTCTTGTAAGCATCATTTCTAACTCGATTCGAAGTCTTTATCAAGCCAATAACATGTTCATTTGTTTGAATCCACAGAGAACTTCACGGAACCAGCACCTTGGCACTAAAGCTCACACTAACACTTTGTAAATACTATTGTGTGGCTTATGTAAAAAAAACAAGTAATCGTCTCAAATGGGTGCACAACATTCAGACTGTCACAATATGCTCTGTTTTGATAGCTGTGTGTACAAAAAAAAAAGCAGTTTTGATACATTTTTTGATATTAGATTTCACAGTATTTTTCACTGCAGCGTCAAAGCCTCGCCACGTAAAAAGAAAAAGGCTATAAACTAGTTTCGCATCATTCCACATCAGCAGAAATGAAAGAAGAAAAATCTCACGTTTGCATTGTAATGTAAATACATGAAAGTGGTTTCCGAGCCGGTGTGACTGCAGGTTTTCATTCCAACCAAGCAGGAGCAGACACCAGACTCCACTCATTTCCCCAAGTGAGTCCAGTTTTAACCTTTGTGCTAATCTCAGGTCAAACTTACCCTCCACAGTGATTAAAAAATACCATAAATCTTTTTATTTTTAGCTGAGTTTTGATGTTTTTTTCCTAACTTGGCCAGCCCTGGGTCATTTAGATCCTTTTAGAAACAAATTTAGGGTATTTTTCTTCTACTTTTTATCAACTATGGCGGGTCATGTTGACACGAGGATAGCATTAACCTGGATTCTTGAGGAAATGGGTGAGGTCTGGTATTTGCTCCTGCTTGGTTGGAGTGAAAACCTGCAGCCACACCGGCCTTTTAAAAACCTTATACAGGGTTTGTATCTATTCGGAAAAGTTTTAATACCATTTTATGTTGTTTCAAAAGGTTTCAAAATATATATATTTTTTGACCCATCACGTCAAATTGAGAAAACACCATAGCAACGGCCTTAGAAACGAGAAATGACAAACCATTTAGCCTAGCTTTAGTCATCTCCTTTGCCACTAACTGAGCCCGTGGGGAGTAGAGCCAAAACATCTTTGCAGCAATGACATTCGCCAAAAATTTCTCTTGCTCCTGCTTCAATTTCTTGATATTTGGAGCCGAACCAGAACAGATTACTTTACTATCGCATTCGCTGCCAAACTACAACCAGCAAATTTGGCGCAAACTCTTGACGTCAACAACACGCCAACCTTGCCTCCCCTGCTCGCTGATAGGAAATGATCATGGACCGGAGTTTACGCATGGCTAAGACCAGGCTCGTGTCAACCGGGTCCCTTTTTTTTCACAAACCCTGCATAAGGTCTTTAAGGAACTGGTTCAACACCACTGGACTAAACGATGACAAAATCCAATAACGTTTTGTATATGTGAATGTTACTTTTAACCGAGACGGTGCTAAAGCCACGTCTCATCGCATTTAGATATAGACGAAACGCTAATAAAGACTACTGAACTGTCTTCGGTTGAAAAATTGTCTAGAAATTGTTGACCAGAAAAAATGTACATGACTTTGAAATACAAGAAAAGCGACGTTTGCTTTGTCCTAATGGCCTGTTCTTGTGCCGAGGATGTTGTGAAAGTGAAAGAATTATGAGCGGATATTTCTTCTTGCCATTGTAAGAATCTGTATGGTCGGATTCCAGTTTGAAAACACTGTGTTGACCAAAAACTCAATTAGATGAAATGTGATGAATAAAAGATTTCAACTCTCACTGAACTGGATGGAAAAATGCTTTGGTGTCATTGAGTATTAAAGAAGACATATCATGGGTTATTTTTGAGCGTTTTAGCGTCACAATGAAGTTCCCTCTTCAAAAGCTGACCTGGAATATCAAGATCAAACGTCGGGCACAAACGTAACTCTGCCCCTTCTGTCTAAAAGCTCTAGTTTCATGCTGCTTTCATGTGATCTTGGAAAATGAGATATCTGTTTAAAGAAGCTGGTGACACACACACATACAGCAGTAACAACAACAATACAAGAATGTGCAGAAATCTACCTTGAATCTCTGCTTGCTTTGTACGAAATGCTTAAAAAATCCTCCCTGTTGTGATTAAGGAAATACAGGAGAATTTAAATACCGTGTTTCCTTATTAACAATTTTATATATTTCCGCAAAACCTTTGTGGTCGTAAACTCACAAATTATTACAATCAGACGCATGCCACAGTGACGGGAACTTGGAACCTGAGATTTCTAGCTTGCCTGAAATCTCATCAGTTCTTTAATCATATGATGTTATTGAACCACTATGACATCACAACCAAAGCAGTTTTCTACCATTTAAACAAAAGATTTTCCCCAAAATGTATTTTTTCACTTTCTCAGGTGATGTGAGGTTCTTTGCAATCACATGGCAGTAGCGCTGGGCAATAAATCCAGATAGTTTGATTATTAGACCTCATTGAAAATTGAAGATGTGAGAAATGTCAAAAGCATTCTGGCCTCGGGGTCTGTAGTTTAGCCGAGTCGTGCAGCGCGTCACAAAAGGGCAGTCTCCAAAGAACGGTGTTTTTTGGGTTTTTTTTTCAAAAGGCCCAACATTGATCTTATGAGAGATGTTAACGTCCACACCACAGTTAAAATGATTGAGATGGAAATGTTTTTGAAATTTGAACAATTTTTTATTAAACAATTAGTTGAATTTGCTTAAACTAAATCTCGACATTGACCAGCCTTAGATGACAGTTTAATCTTAAAATTTTGAAAAACAAATCTACACCTCCCTCTTGTGGTTGTATATGGATAGAGTAGGCAGATTATTAAACACATATTACCGTTATCTTTTACAAACAAAAATTGATTTTCATTCTAAAACACGAATAGACAAAATAAATAGCCTCATTTTAAGTATTAACTGGCAAAAATAATGCATAATACGTCTTCTTTAAGTCCCAGTGTGTGCATATGGTATCATTAAAACAGTTTCTCCTACTGGGACACAGTAGTTTCTTGGATTTCTGGAACTACTTTGTCTTTCCACTGTACAGCTCTGCACTCATCACTCATTGTAGTCCACAAAACATAGTTTTGTTCTACCTCGTCTCCTCATGTCCGCTCGGGAGGCTTCTGGATATTGACTCGTTCATTAATAAAAATAACAAAAGTGGACTGAGCCTTCTGCTTTTTGCCTTTTGGATTTTATCGGTCTGACAAGTTTTCTGTTTTTGATGGATTTCCTCCACATCCTGTTCCACACATCAGGAAGAGTATCCTGCAAAGTCACTTCCTCTGGTAGTAACAGCAGTAGCAGTAATAGTGTAGAAGTAGTAGAAGAAGCAACAGCAGTAGTAGCAGCAGTGATAAGAATAGTAGTAGTAACAGTAGTATCAGCAGGAGTGGTAGTTATAAGAGTAGCAGTAGCAGTAGTAATAGGAGTAGTAGCAGGAGTAGTAGTAGTAGCAGCAGCAGTAGTAGCAGCAGCAGTAATAGCAGTACCAGCAGTAGCAGTAGTAGTAGTACCAGCAGTAGCAGTAGTAGTAGTAGCAGCAGTAGCAGTAGTAGTAGTAGTAGCAGTAGTAGTAGTAGCAGTAGAAGTAGCAGTAGAAACAACAGTACACGGTTTATGACCGGCTATCATCTTTTAATCATCTGTTGAGTTACAATCTTTCAAATGTACAAGTCATAACATTTACAACAAACATTTACGTTTATAGTACTTTGATGCTGTTACCATGGATACATCTCCACCGCGTGTGGCTCCATAAGAACACAAATCAGATAAATAACCTTTCATACCATAAAAAAACTAAACATAATGAAAGTGTCACAAACGTGTACAGTGATTTTGATTGGACAGAAGAGCGCCGTTCGGGTTTGTTCACTCCAAAAACCCACCAATCACAGACCGCTCTGAGCCACAGCTGCTTTCTGATTGGTGGAGGGTCGCTCACTTAAAACAATAGGTTACGTTCATGTTACAAGTAAATGGGAATGTCTCCTGTCTGAAAGACCCGTCCACTATTCAACCATGTTTTTTTAATTATTGTCACCTCTTCTGGAAATATTTATGAGAAAATAATGAAACCGTAGTTGATATGTGAGGACAAAGAAAGATGTGGAGCTCTGTGATTGGCCGAGGAGTGAGAAATTAGCTCTGAATTGAAGGTGATGTCTACTTAAATTGTAAATAATACATATTTTGGACTAAACTGGATAGGGAAGTCTGGGCATCTCTGCTTAGACTGCTGACCCTGCGACCCTGCAACGGATGAAGCGGAAGAAAATTGATGGATGGATGGAATTTTGACCATATGACCTTGTAGCATCATCTGTATTAAGTATTTTCTAAAATAAACATATAATATATATACAATAGGCATCACTAGTTTGCTTTGTTGGAGGAGAATACTTTGACCAATGGTGAGGGGTCTCAGCTGTCTCTCCAGGATTTGAATTCTTTGCGTCCAATCAGGAAGCTTTAGGGGCGGGTCTAACTGGTGGGTTTTCACAATTTGAAAAGTAACTGACTTTCACTTTAAGACATGCTGCTCTCGTCACGAGGTTAAACTATAGTGATGTCACATGAACGCAACCTACATAAAAATGTGGAGGTCCCGCCATCTGCTGGTCACAAAGGAGATCGCTTTGCTATAGTATATGTTGCACAGAATGAAGAAAACTCGGCTATCTTTGTGGTGACAAAGTTACAAGTTAGATCTGCGATGGAAGCTGAGCGCGGGCACGGTGAGAATTCATGTTTTTAGTAAATAAAAACACATGAAATTATAAAAGTCGTTTGAAATAATACAGGTTATATGTAACAGGAAATGCAGTGAAGCAAAGAGGGTGACGGATCCCCCACCACAAAGTTACGTAGGGGACCTTTAAAGTTTGGTCCAAGTCATGGCTCGACTGAAAATATCATTTGTGTCGAAAGATTTTGGGAAAAACAACAGAAGATTGTTCTGTTCTACACTAGAGCTGGAGGATTTTGTCTATTGTATATGTTTTAGTGGTAACCAGAGCACCTGGAGGAAACCTACACAGACACAGGGTTAGACCTTGTTCCAACCCGGAATCAAACCCTTCTTGCTGAGAAGCAAAAGTGCTAACCATGCTTACTACTTGACACTTACTACTCTGTCAAGTAGCAAGGGTGCTACTTTGGCTCCAAAATGGGTTAAAATATGGATTGACTATATTATTTCATGTTTAACATTAATAAACATCTGGAAATGCAGGAGTACCGGTACGTTTTGATACTTCTGCCTATTGTTTTTGAGCTCTATATAGCACATAAACAGTATTTTTCAATATACATATTAACAGTATGTATTTGCTATGAGTGCAAATAAACAAACTGAACTGAAAGGAGCAGTGTAAATCTGGCAGACTGGAGCAAAAATGCTAGTTTCCATCTGTCTGTTTCCAAATGTCATTCTAGCGGCTTGAGTTATGTTCAGCCCATATTCAAGGAAAACCAATTAAAACCAATTCATCCAGTTTCACAGCCTTTCAACAGCCTTCAGACGTTCAAATCGCATTTTATTTGACTTATTTCCTCTCCGTGTGTGAACCAGGGGCATGCGATCCAGAGGCGGATGAGCAGCAGCTGGGTGGCGAGACGGTCAATGCAAAGTACAAGTAAAAATAGATTTCCCTTCACGATTTCGTATTCATAAAAACAGCCTCGAGTCCGGCAGGGGTCAAATCTGAATAAAAATCCATTTGACAAGAGAATGACGAGCAGAGTATTGAGTGAACGAAGCTGTACTTTTGAAGTCGGTGAGCTGCAAAACACTGGACTAAAACATGCTAACATTGCTCGGCTGTTTAATATTGTAGCTACATGTGACACGGCTGGCGAGAGACGGGGATATGACGGCTTCAGAAAACTCCGGGAAAAGCCACTCTGGCCTTGTTTTTGTTTTTTTTCTCGGTTTCACTGGTTGCGTGTGTGGAGGAGCTCACAGCTATGGTCGTAAAAGATGTATTGCAAGACGACGCGGTCTGATGAACGGAGAGAAGGCATGCACAAAACCCATGGCTTTAGTCACGTCACGTCAACTATGGGAGCGTGTGTGTGAGGATACGCACTAATATGGCTTCCAGGGGGAACGACGGCCTACCCCACGTATAGTCTAAAACGCTTCGAGTCTGGCTTTAAGAACTAAAAAACTACAACGGAATCTGAAGCCAGTTTTACAAAGACATTGTACATTTTTCAGCAGCCACCAGAGATCATTCACCACGAGCTTTAAATCTATAGATATTTCTTGTACCAGACAAAAAGTCGCTGGTTTTACAGACACGATGGATTGTATATTCATGGATTTGAGGACCTTTTTTCTCGTTTTTAAAAGATATTCTGTTTTTCATTTTATTCTGAAACTCATAGATCATTAAATATGGAACAGTAAGTAGTAGGCCTGTAATGAAAATTTCAAAAAGTGCAATGTATTTGTTCTAACGAGAGCCAAAATTGCTTTAAACAGTCTAAAAGGCGTTCGAGTCTTTAGCTGTGACTTTATTAGCGTAATTAAAAAAATACTTTACTACCTTTGTCCAACTGGCCAGTTCCAAAAAGACACAGAAATCAGTAGAATGCAGTGTTACCCTTGTCTGGTGCAGAAGCGGAGGGGAGGATGCGGCGGGACTGGAGGACAGACTGGCAGTAAAACGGCATGGTACCTTGGCACGTGACGGGGGAGTGATGGGGGTGGTCAGGCAGGCGCATGTACTGTGTGTGTGAACATGTGTGTGTGTGTGTGTGTGTGTGTGTGTGTGTGTGTGTGTGTGTGGGGAGGGGCACACAGTCCTTTAGCTCTGGGCCGTTAGCCGCTGCTCCGTGAGCGAGGCCTGGTGCGACACTGTCTTGTTTTCGTGAGCTCGCAGTTTGGACACGACGTCGATGAAGGCCAGAGTCTGGACTTCTTTGTGAAGGGGCTCTGAGGCGAAACATGGACAGTACAATGTTTAACACGAACCGAATACAAGTGAGACCTTTAAAGCTGGGATACAGAACTTTTCCCACCGTGTCTTCACCGCAAAAAGTGATGAAAAATAGGTCAAAAATTGCTCAAATATGGCCAAATACTTAATTTCATCACATTCTGATCCCTCACTCTGTCCCAGACCTCTCCATCTTTTGTCTTTTTCTTCAGTTAGATGGATTGTATAATTGTACAAAGCGATTTTGTTACCTTAGCCGTAGCTCCAACTGGAAACCACTCCCCCCTCCCCTCCCCACCAAACCAAACATCCAGCATTTTCTTTTCTTTGTCACAACAGGGAGAGTGGGCGGCAAACATGAAATTGGAATTTTCTGTTCAGCCCTTTTAGGTTTTAGAAAATCTGATAACTCAGGTGCACTGTCGAGAAACAGGAAGAGGGTGAAGGGAGTAAACGCATCTCATTGGTTCGTTGGGGATGAACGAATCCTATTGGTTTATTTTTATCGGTCCACTCAAAAAAAATCTATTAATTTTTGGAGACTATCGTCATCTGGTCAATTCCATTACTATTTGAAAACACATGATAACTTGACTACTTGTATAGTTTAGGGACGTTTACCCACAATATTTTAAAAAAAATGCGTCTGAAAAAAAATCCCTGACTGCATCTTTAAAGTTAGGTACCCCAGCTTTAACATAGAGTGTGCAGTTCTCACCGGAGCCCATAACGGCACAGATGAGGATCATGGAGTTGTATTTGATCTCTGGGGCGCTCCTCTCGTCCGACAGAAGTTTGTGGAGCATGGACACCAAACTAGAGCCCACAAAGTCCTTCTCCGCAGCCACTGGAACGACACACACCCTTGTTATAACACAACACGCGCACATATGCAGAGAGAGGGACACAGAGAGTGAGAGAGCGACGGAGAGAGACACACAACACAAACACATATACAGAGACACACAGAGACAGAGAGAGAGACGCATAGAGAGAAAGGGAAAGAGAGAGAGAGACACACACACCCTTGTTATAAGTAAGTAAGTAATCTTTATTTATATACCGCCTTTCACAGACCAGTCACAAAGCGGTTTACAATTGTTATTTTTGGGCATTTGTCCTCTCACTCCACACAGAGATGGGAGCGGGGTCACCAGTACAGGAGGCGCATGGCAGACCTATTGTACATATTTTTAGAGGTAGGGGAAACCGGAGTACCCGGAGGAAACCTACGCAGACACGGGGAGAACATGCAAACTCCACTCAGAAAGGCCCTGCTCCGACCGGGATTCAAACCCAGGACCTTCTTGCTGAGAGGCGAGAGTGCTATCCACTCTGCCACCGTGTCGCCCACACGGTGGCAGAGTGTGGGTAACCCACACAGAGACACACACACACACACACAGAGACACACACACACACACACACACACACACACACACACACACGTTCTTTCCGAGTGACTTACCCAGATCCAGGGCTGCTATAAGACCCAGGGCGACCAGTGCCTCGTTCTGCATGATCATATGCTCACTCGTTGCCATGGCGACTAAATGTTTGACGCCTCCACACTGGATCACAGTCCGGACCACTTCCTGTGCAGACGGAGAAGAAACAATTATGCGTTTATTAACATTTATGGACAGTGGTCATCTCCCTATGGACCAATGGCTTCTATGTGTTTGTTATTATCTTTAAATCTTTGTAAACAGGCATTTTTTCTTTGGTTTTTAATACCAGGGACAAGTTTTTAATTATATTATTATTATTATTTTTATAAATACACACATTATTTTTATTGTGTGTTTATCGTTGCCGTTTTTCACTTCAGCACTTTTATAAGTAGCAAGGATCTACTTTTGTCTTACCTGTTTACCTGCATTTGTCCTGTGAGTAATTTGTATATTTTTGTGTATTTTGTTTTACTATTGCGTGGTAAGTGGGTTTTTGTCATTGTGTTATGTTATGTACAGTATTGTATGTTTTGTATGTACATATTGTGAGTGTATGTTTGGTGACTGTTGTCTGAAATAAAAAAAATGAATTAAAAAAAGGATCTAGTTTGGCGCTAATACATTGAATTGACTCGTGTGAAGAAAATGCTACGCGGTGGTTCGGTAGATTCGGACCCAGACTCGGACCTTGGACTTGCTGTGTCGGATGAGAGCGGACAGCAGCCGGTTGGACTCCCCCATGACGCCAGCGTGATCTTTGGCTTCACACCACTCCACCAGACGCTCCACCAGCTTCATGTTGGTCCCCAGCTGCTCCGCCGCCTCAGCTGCGTCAAACACACAACACAGATGAACGTAAAGTGGCCATATTGCACAATGACACCGTGATAATCCTAAAGCTGATGAAATGAAGCTCTCTCAATGACGGCGGCTTTAACGGTGTCTGAATCACAAAGCTGACAGTCGGTCCCTGCTGCCAGCTTCTTTACATAACCTAAAGAATGTAATAAAGTTGAGTTCTCCAGCTTTGCCCAGAAAAACAGTGCGGTTAAAGAAGAAATATTATACAAAATCTACTTTGTTTTATATTATTTTTTTTACAGATCGATCCATGCAAAGAATCAGGAACTTCTGGTACAAACACATAACTCCGCCCCTTCTGTCTTAAAGCTCCTGTCTCAGTCCTGTAATAGTATGATGTCATTGCACCACTATGACATCACAATCAGCATTGCACATTAAAGGAATAGTTCACCGTTTTTACATACTGACATATGTTCTTACCTTACCTTAGACTAGTTAATACGTACCTGTCTGGTCTTAGTCCGTGCGCTCTGTCATGCAAACGGAGCAAAAACGGGAGCACAACCGCAGCCTCCTCTGTATACTGTGTAGGACCAAAAGGTAGCTCCCGCTAGAAGCTACCAAACTCTTCCAAGTGTTCCCTATTAAATGTATATAGTTACGTGACGTGTTACACTGCAAAGTATAGTAACACAGAAATGTAACAGTCGATTTTCTCAGCGGATAAAACGGGTACTATATTGTGAGGCGTAGTAATCTGAGGAGCGCTACGTCCGCGCACTAACTTCTCTCCGGAGACTTCTCTCTCGCTCACTTCCGTCAATAGAAGCAGCGTGACTTGTAGTACACACAGTAGCAGCGAGAGAGAAGTCTCCGGAGAGAAGTTAGTGCGCGGACGTAGCGCTCCTCAGATTACTACGCCTCACAATATAGTACCCGTTTTATCCGCTGAGAAAATCGACTGTTACATTTCTGTGTTACTATACTTTGCAGTGTAACACGTCACGTAACTATATACATTTAATAGGGAACACTTGGAAGAGTTTGGTAGCTTCTAGCGGGAGCTACCTTTTGGGTCCTATACAGTATACAGAGGAGGCTGCGGTTGTGCTCCCGTTTTTGCTCCGTTTGCATGACAGAGCGCACGGACTAAGACCAGACAGGTACATATTAACTAGTCTAAGGTAAGGTAAGAACATATGTCAGTATGTAAAAACGGTGAACTATTCCTTTAATTAGTTAAGGCAATTTCTCAAAGGTGGCAAAGTGGCACAGCAAGAAGGTCCTGGGTTCAATTTCACCTCCAGACGGGGCCTCTAACAACAGGTGAGAGTTGAATGAGTGATAGTGACTGTAGGCCTATAAAAAGCTGCGGTGTATTTACAGTTACGGTTCGTATACACTGTCCCATCCAAAAAAAAAAAACACATTTTTTTGTTCTTTATAATATCATGAGGTTGTAGCAAGTTGTTTTCAACGCTGGGAAAAAAAAAATAATAATTCTACCCCTCCCTCTAGTGGTAGCACAGGGGTAGTGCAGGCCGCTTGTTTATCCTCGATACTCTTTTCACCATATATTTTCCAATGTACCTTGTGTATCAATGAGCATCCGTAATGTTCCCAGGAGTTTGAACTGGACTGGGGGCATCTCAGACGGCAAGAACTTCAACACCACATCTGCCACTCCGGCCGACAGCATCTTGGATTTGTTCACCACTATAAGAAAAAACAAAACAATCACAAAAACCAGTATTTACCCGATTTCTGCGGTGAAACACAGAATATAACACACATGACCGGTTTAGTGGGTGTGGCCTCTCACCAGGTATGGCCAGGTTTCTCAGGGCACTCAGAGCGGCGTGTTGTACGGTCACGTTCCCCTCGTCGACATGCCGGTCCAACAGTTCTAGAAGCTTCTGCACTATCCCCGTGTCCACCATGTGAATACAGTTTCCATCTGCACAAGCGCAATCCAAACACATGATGCTATATAGAACTTCAATGTAAAAAAGTGAATTATGTCTTCTTTATGTTTAAGGCTTAGAAGGTTCTTCTTATACAGGCAGGTCAAACTCAGGCCTGAGGGTCAAATTTGGCCCGCAAGACCCTTTTCCATGGCCCCTGGAATGAGCAATTTCAGGTTTTTATGGGAAATGTTTCAGCTAATCTCACATTTACACCAAGAAATACGTTGAGCTTTGTGCCCAGCTCGTCTCTGGTCGCCCTCGCTCTGGTCTCTCTCCTCTTTCTGGTCTCTCCTCGCTCTGGTCTCTCTCGCTCTGGTCTCTCTCCTCTCTCTAGTCTCTCCTCGCTCTGGTCTCTCTCGCTCTGGTCTCTCCTCGCTCTGGTCTCTCCTCGCTCTGGTCTCTCCTCGCTCTGGTCTCTCTCGCTCTGGTCTCTCTCGCTCTGGTCTCTCTCGCTCTGGTCTCTCTCGCTCTGGTCTCATGTATTTTAAATGTGACCCCCAAGAAAAATGAGTTTGACACCCAGTTCTATTAAGAGTACAGAAGCGAGTACTGATGTATGATATATATAGCACTTGGCTAAATATGAGAAATGATTTTAAAAGTACCATTCCGGGCAAAGTTAGCGATGGCGAGGGCCCCGGCGAGCTGCAGCTGGTGGTTGTTAGAAGGGATCCAGGACAGAACTCTCTGGAAGACGCTGCCCTTTCCTCCTTCAAACAGCTTCTGCATCGACTCGTCTACAGAGAAAAGGATTTTTAAAAGATTTTAAAATGACTCCCTCCATTTGTTAAACACTAATGATACGGTCAACCCTTCATGACGGAGCAGCAGGACATCCATCCATCTCACTAAAGCATGTTTGGTTCTAAAAATAGCAATGCCCCCAAGTCCAGGTCCATCAAAGTGCCATTAAATTTTAAAAGCGGAATTGAATTATTTATTAGCCGTGGCATTACTGGACAGGACACGGGCGGCTTATTTGTCAATGGGGGAAATATATTTGCCGTACGAAAAGGTTAGAGACTTCAGGTTTAGGTCTTAGAAGAAAAGTTACACAAAACAGTCATGTTTAAGGCTAATGGTTGTGATGGATACATTTCAAACCATTGCTACCATTTCTCATAGGTTTTTTATTGGGCAAACTTGTTTTGGTCCGGTCCCAATCCACACCAATGGTACCATAGGTGTAACCATAGACCATTGATAGAGGAGTGGTGCTAGCTTAGCACTTTAACAGGGGCACACGTGTTGCTAAGGCAAGCTGGTGTACTTGTGTGAGCCAATAGGAGAGTTGGAGAAAAACTTCATCCCACGAGCAATATTTTGAGTTTTTTAACCTGTCCGTTTGAATTTCAATCCAAGCATAGTTGAACTAAATTTGTCCAGAAAAACTTACCAAACAAGAAGAAGTAATTAGCAGTATTTGTTAAAAAATACTTCTATAATGTGACAGAGCAAACATTCAAAAATACACAGAATAATTAAGTAAAAAAACCTTGAAAAATCTGCTAATTGCTAACTAGCTCATTAACATTAGCCCCTACCCCATGTTTATTTGCAGCCTTCAAAAAAATTAAAATTAAACTTCAGAAATCAGCCATTTAAATTGGTCATTGGTATCGGCCTAGAAAACCCATATTGATCGATCTCTAGCGCATATTTGGGGATAGGATCTGGCAACCCCGAGCTGAGGCGCCTTCTCATTTAGATTAGAGTGGGTTTACAATATATTTTTGATTTGGACACACATACATCTCAATTATGACTAGTTTAACCAAAAAACCGCACCGACAATACACAGCACTACTTGAAGCGCTCATGACAGACCAGTTAAGTGCCAATGACTGCATCCACCTCTCTGGTTACAATACCAACAGATATCGCTGTGATAATAATAGCAGTGGTGTATTTGTGTCCTGACCTCCCAGCAGCAGCAGCACCATGAGGTCTGAGGCGGTCTTGAGCTGAGCCACGTCCTCCTCTCGCTCTCCGTCCACCGTCTGAGCCACCACCTGCAGCAGGCACTCCACCAGCCCGGCCTCCACCAACTGCAGCTTGATCACATCTGCACCAAAAGGATTTCACAGAGACACTAAAATACAAACAGCGTCTCATTTACAGGAGAATATGAAAGAGATCCCATTGCAAATTGTATTACCGTAATTTCTGGACCTGACTAATTCAGTGACAGACTGCATTAAAACATATTCTCTCTCGCTGGTCTCTCGCTGGTCTCTCTCTGGTCTCTCTCTGGTCTCTCTCTGGTCTCTCTCTGGTCTCTCTCTGGTCTCTCTCTGGTCTCTCGCTGGTCTCTCGCTGGTCTCTCGCTGGTCTCTCGCTGGTCTCTCGCTGGTCTCTCGCTGGTCTCTCGCTGGTCTCTCGCTGGTCTCTCTCTGGTCTCTCTCTGGTCTCTCTCTGGTCTCTCTCTGGTCTCTCTCTGGTCTCTCTCTGGTCTCTCTCTGGTCTCTCTCTGGTCTCTCTCTGGTCTCTCTCTGGTCTCTCTCTGGTCTCTCTCTCCGGTCTCTCTCTCCGGTCTCTCTCTCTCCGGTCTCGCTCTCCGGTCTCGCTCTCCGGTCTCGCTCTCCGGTCTCGCTCTCCGGTCCTCGCTCTCCGGTCTCGCTCTCGCTCCGGTCTCGCTCTCCGGTCTCGCTCTCCGGTCTCGCTCTCCGGTCTCGCTCTCCGGTCTCGCTCTCCGGTCTCGCTCTCCGGTCTCGCTCTCCGGTCTCGCTCTCCGGTCTCGCTCTCCGGTCTCGCTCTCCGGTCTCGCTCTCCGGTCTCGCTCTCCGGTCTCGCTCTCCGGTCTCGCTCTCCGGTCTCGCTCTCCGGTCTCGCTCTCCGGTCTCGCTCTCTCCGGTCTCTCTCTCCGGTCTCTCTCTCCGGTCTCTCTCTCCGGTCTCTCTCTCCGGTCTCTCTCTCCGGTCTCTCTCTCCGGTCTCTCTCTCCGGTCTCTCTCTCTCGGTCTCTCTCTCCGGTCTCTCTCTCCGGTCTCTCTCTCCGGTCTCTCTCTCTCCGGTCTCTCTCTCCGGTCTCTCTCTCTCTCAGGCTCTCTCTCCAGGCTCTCTCTCTCCGGTCTCTCTCTCCGGTCTCTCTCTCTCTCCGGTCTCTCTCTCTCTCCGGTCTCTCTCTCTCCGGTCTCTCTCTCTCCGGTCTCTCCGGTCTCTCTCTCTCCGGTCTCTCTCTCTCCGGTCTCTCTCTCTCTCCGGTCTCTCTCTCTCTCCGGTCTCTCTCTCTCTCCGGTCTCTCTCTCTCTCCGGTCTCTCTCTCTCTCCGGTCTCTCTCTCTCCGGTCTCTCTCTCTCCGGTCTCTCTCTCTCCGGTCTCTCTCTCCGGTCTCTATCTCCGGTCTCTCTCTCTCCGGTCTCTCTCTCTCTCCGGTCTCTCTCTCCGGTCTTTTTCCCTCACTTGCTACAGCAAAAATAAACCTCTGTACTAAAGAAAAATAACCTGGCCAGACCATATCATTTTGTTTCGCATTTCTTTTGAGAACCCGTGCGTGTGCGTGTGTGCGTGTGTTGATGATGTGTGATTTTAATAAGAGCCCGCTGTGCAAATCCAGATGAAGAGGTGGACAGCGGCCCGGAGAGGCGCGGAGGCAGTTAAGTGGGACGTTGTCGTGGAGACCGACGAGGCAACAGATAAAAGCCACACACACACAAACGCGCAAACACACACTCATAGACACACACACACACAACAGAAGACAGGCTGAGGAAGTGCAGGAGCCGTCTGCCATGACTGTGCAGTGAGCAGGAACGCACACTATCACACACACATACATATACAGACACACACACACTAGCCTGACTCTCGCCAGACCCTTGTAGATCGCTGCGCTTCTCACATGGGTCTGGGTCTCCTTCATAGCAGATACATTTCATGGGTTGCCAAATGCCAGCAAGATTTTCCAACCCAAAAGTTGCGAGAATGCCCAGAATGATTTTTTTGGCTAAAAACGTAATATAATCAACTTGGGCTATCATGATTCTGTTTATTGTCTTTCTGTTTATTTATTACCTACAAGTCTCATGAAGAAAAGTATGCGGGAAACCACCCAACCTGGCAACCCTGCTGCATAGTGTTGTAAACAGGAACACTTAAACCAGTACTTAAACCAAACTTTACATAAACATTTGACTCTTAAAACACACATATAACAACATGGAACCATCAACATCTCGCCTCATATTGCATTAAAAGTGACATCCGTGTCTTAATTTGTTTCCGCCATCTTGGATCGCTTTCGCTGGTGCGTGAGACACGCTTGAGAAGGCGGAGCAAACCCGACGTAACCGGCGATCCTGATTGGTCGATTATTTTCAGATCTGCTAAAGGAATTTGCTATGTGCGCGATACCAGACCCTTGTGCGTGCAGCGAAACGCCTCTGGTGGAGCATGGCGGAACTACGAGGGTCTGACGAGAGCCAGGCTAGGTAATAACGAACAAGACCAGAGGAACATTCCTAAACTAATATTTTTGAAATAGTGACAAGAGCTGGGAATCTTTTGCTGATAAGTTCCAGTCTTTCAATCGAGGGATAAGTGGGATAGAGATTTTAGAAACGTTTTATTAATAAATAAATCCAGATTTGGTAAAAACTGGTGATGATTGTTAAGCTGTGGTGAGCCTTCTGTATTCCTCTGCTGTTTGATTTATAACTATTGCACTCAGGGGTATTGAGATTGTCCGTCTGTCTGCGTGTGCGTGTGCGTGTGTGTGTGTGTGTGTGTGTGTGTGTGCGTGTGTGTGTGTGTAGGTAGGATTATGTTGCAACTACTGGACACATGATTGACATTTTGTGTGTGGATGTGATGCGATAATGGGAAGGCCACATTCACCTTGGCAATGGCGGGGTATGTGCTCTCCGAGTGACCGTTCTGGTCCCATATCACAATCATTATTAAGGTGTTTTCTCATGTAGAATGACTATAGAATTAGCGCCACCTGCATGTGAAAGCTAGATCCTCACACCTCTAAAGCAAAGGCCTGGGTACGACTGTGATGGGAGACCTCTGGGTTCCACAGTGCCAAACTATCCTTGTGTCCTCAGGCAAGACACTTTAACCACATTGTCTAGAATGAGTCTGGTGTGTGTGAATGGTTGGTGGTGGTCAGAGGGGCTGATGACACATACTGATTGCCTCACTTCGGTCAGGATGTCCCAAGGCAGCTGTGGCTACAGTAGTAATTAATCATGGAGTGACTGAATAGACATGTGAAGGGTCTTTGAGTGTCCAAAAAAAACGCTATATAAAACCATCATCATCATTCATCATCATGCATCATCATCATCATCATCGTAACCCTAACTCGTCATTAAATCATGTTGTGATCACTTAAAACGGTTGTGTCTCTGCTACATTACAAAATGTAAACCTGCGGCTTATATTCAAGTGCAGTCTATGTGTGGAAAAAATAGCTTCTCTTTTAAAATTTTGCTGATGCTGATATAGTTCAGAAAGTATGGTAAATCTCTAAAGGCACCAAATACAAGAGAAGCTTTATTATCAGGGGAATATGAAGGGCACTGTAGCAAATTATGTTAAACTGTATGAACAAGAAGTAGACCAGGATTTAAAGATTGACTGAGCTGCTTTTAAGCGTAAGTCTTCGATGCAGACAGATCCCAGTTTGGACCTGGCTTTCACCAATGTAGCTATGGTGATATTCTGGAGTGATTTCCAAAGCGGGACAATCGAGAACCACTTCTTAACACAATGACAGTTCTCGTAAACAGACCATTTGTCAGCTCAGTAATTAAATTTGACATTTCCCGTTTCCTTCTCGACACAAAACGTACCATTCTCTGCCAGCGGGGCCAGCACTTCGAACACCATCTCCTTCTTCTCGTGCTCCGTCTGCTTCTGGAACAGCCTTACCAGCTCCTCTGCAATGTTGGTGGAGGCGAACTGCTCTTTGCTGGACTCTGGGGACGCAAACATCACACCCGGATCGTGAGGATTTACTCTGGGTTTAGAGCGTGACCCGAGAGAACCTGAGCCAGCTGCAAATCTCCATCATATGCTGCTCGGCGGCTCAGGGTAAAAAAGACCGAAGGGAGCAGGGGGTCTCCAGCCTTTTTTCAATCAGAGAGCTACTTTTTCAGGACAAAAGTGGCAGAGAGCTTGTGCTTTTAGAGTGAGTAGCACAATGGATTAAGTGGATTTTATCTTAATACAATGGAACAACCAGCTTTTAGTGTTATTAATTTTTGTATAGCCCAAAATCACAACAGTAGTTTGTTTTTTTAGTGTCTGTTTTTGTGTTATATAGACTCTTTGTGTGTAAAGATTAAAAATGTAAAGAATAAAATAAATTGTTATCTCGGAAGACTTTACGATGTTGTTAATTCGCCAACACAGACTAGAAAACAGTTCAAACACAAGAAATGCAATAACAAACACAAAGAAGCCATTACTATTCCAATAATGTATACACAAAGTATATTACTTGTTTCATTGGCAAATCTTGTTTTTAAGAACGTCAAAAGCCAAAGCCAAATTCTTTGTTTTGTCAGTTTTTGTTGTGTAATGTTATACCCATAAACAATCTACCATCATGATTTAGTGCAAAAAGTAGGCATCTTATGTTTACTCATATTCTTTGGGGAGCGAATTCGAAGAGGGTGGCGAGCTACTGGCTAGAGCTATAATATAAGACAAGATAACTTTTATTCATCCCAAAGTGGGGAAATTTCAAGGTTGCAGTGCACGTACAGAACAGTATATAGTTCTCCAACCTGTAGCTCGCCACCCCCTTCCAGGTAGCTCACCAAAGGATTTAGAAATGCACATATCAAATAATATACTTAATATTTCAGATTGTATTACCATTACCATTATCTATTTTTGTAAATGCACTGACTTTATGCACTAGTAACAAATATGCGATGATAAATAATGACTGTTGCCAATATCAGGCTTGTTCACACCAAGATATCACCAAATTTTTTTTCCCAGGGCTTAAAGGAGTAGCTCTCTGCCTTTCGTTACAGATAAAGAAAGGAGAGCTCTAAACAAGGTGCTCCGCTCTGCAAAGAGGACTGTGAGCTGTGAGCTTCCTGTTCTGGAGGTTCTTTATAAATCTAGACTTTTAAACCGAGCTCTAAGAATATCAATGACTCTTCTGGCCACCCTGGAAAAGCCATGTTCCAGCTTCTTCCTTCTGGCAGAAGATTTGTTCGCTGAGATGCAGGACATCTGGATATGCTAACATGCTAATAGCTTCTATCCACAAGCTGTTATCAGTTTGAACAGAGCACTTTAATGATCTTGCACTGGTATTGAAACTGTTTTAGTCGATCGATCTCACAGTAAATATTGGTCCCTGTTTTATGTATTTTTAATCTGTTTTATTTCTGTACACTGGGGACTTTTGCAAATGTATTCCAATGTGGTTTTAATGCAAATGGAAAATAAATTAATCTGAATCGGATTTATCGTCCCGGGAAAGTAGCTCTCTGGGTGAAAAAGGTTGTAGACGCCTCCCCCAGAGACACAAGCAGAGGCAGACTCACCGAGCTCGGCCAAGTTGCCAAACGCGATGAGGCACATCTCTGTCAGGGCTGTGTGGTTAGAGTGGACGGCCAGCAGCTTGACCAGAGTTGGGATCACGCCCATATTGATCAGCTGTGCTTGTAGGGAATCTGCAAAACATGGGAGAACACAGAGGAAATACTGTTCAACAACTCGTATACTCATGTAGAAGGTTCAGCCAAAGCCACAGAGCAGTTTTCACCGCACAGAGAATTGTAAATTATGAAGAGAATAGAGAGAATCTTCAGAATATTGTCTAAACTGTGAGAGATACAGTATGGAAGTGGAATCCCCCAATAGATCCAGGACAAAAGAAAGAGAGTTAGGTTCTGTCAATAAATTGCGTTCATGTGACATCACAAGAGTACAAGGAGCCTATAGTTCTTAGCGTTGGAGGGCATCTGACAAATATTTTCGGGAAACTATGGTAACTATCAAAAGCCAAACTCATTACAGATCTTCTTTGTGAGTATGTAATAAACTATGGCTGTAATTATTTTCTCATAAAAGGAGTCTAGAAGTGGGGACGATACTAAAATAACAAATGCATGAGGTTGGTCAGGACTTTTCACATATCAATAATGACCTGGGGAAACCTGTTGCTTCTTTCTCATAGAGTTGCTACATCACTCCTCCAACACTAGCTAATTTTGCTAAGACATTTTGACGAGCAGACATCACACTTTGCTAATAACACATTGGGAAGTTATGGAAAACTTGGTAAAATTGTCTTGGCAATTTCACTGTTAATCAAAAACTTAATAATTTAAAAGGTTTGAAAAGATTAGGGAAAAAAGATTCAGATTTTTGAAGGACCTTGTGGACTTTCGCCCATTCAAAATATATACATGATGGTATTTTGATAGTATAAGCTTAAATGCAATAAAGATAGAGTTTGAAAAGTTTGAAATCCACAAAGAGACTTTACAAAAAGGCTGAAATATTCAAAAGGTTCACCAACAAGAAGTTATAACAACCGGAATGGGGAGAGACCAGACCAGAACCGTGAGTATTTTAGCCTGTGGAGAAGGGAAAGCTGAAAGTGAAATGTATCTTGAGCCGAAACCAAGCTTTATTTTAACCCTAGAGCTTCCTGCTGCGGTGATGAAGCCAGGTCTCCTCTCTCGTAGCTTCTCTCTGTTAGTACATTAACTGTTTATGAAGAGTCAGCCCCGTAGTGCATCACCGCTGTCACTTGGCAGGAGGTCCGGTCCCACCACATCAAGGATTAGCGCACGAGGAAAGCAACAGGGACACTGCCATTCAGAGTTTAAGTTTTTCCTCTGGTTATTGAATGCAAGTCGATATGAATTGTCTGTCTGTATGTTTTAAATAGTAAATTAAATTGTAATAAAGTTGTTTGAAATAACCCTTGTGCTATCCTTGGTCCAAAATTACCCGCCACAGTGATTAAAAGTTGAAGAAAAATACCCTAATTAAAAGGTCTAAAGGGGTCTAAATGACCTCGGAAAACATTTATTTAGGGTATTTTTGACTTGAAGATAGCACAAGGACCTTCCAGCATCTATAGCGCCGACTTTCTGACCCAAAATATGAACAAAGCACACATTTTTAAAGTGTCGTCTGGGATTCTATGTCTGAGTTTGATACAATATGACTTATTTAAAGCTGGGGTACCTAACTTTCAAGCCACAAATAATGTAAGTAATTAATATTCAATAATAATGAAATAATTCCCTGGCTCAAAAACACGTAAATTCAATCACTAGTTTTCAAAATTTTCTGTCATGTCTTGGCTTTTTTGGTTCTAACTCAAGACAAAATGAACCTTTTTGAATCTTTATATAAGCTAAGCAGAATCAGCCAATCAGCTCTCAGCTCAACGCATCAAATAGTGACTCACAAGGACAAAAGATAACCTGTTTACTATTACAAGACTCTTTTTGTTGGGACAAACATGTGTTATTCATGAAACAAAAAACTTAGGTACCCCAGCTTTAAATTGATTCTCTACAGTCTGAAGTTTACCTAAAGCAACACATAATTGAGAATCTTTGAAAAGCTACATAGGCCCCGTTTCCACCAGCCCTACTTGGCCTGGTTCTACTCGGCTCTACTCTACCTGGTTTTGTTCCCATTATGCTACAGTATCTGAGACTATATCCTAGAAACCTACCCACAACAAACCAGTATCCGGATACATTCCTGGGTAACCATGGCTTGCAACAGCACCAATCATTGTCAGTTATACAACTTTAGTACCAGCTCGGCCTGGATAGAACCAGGACCAAGCAGGAACTAAAAAACACCTGGTACTGGCTAAACAGTGCCAGTGGAAACGCTGCCAATCGAGGTAGAGCAGAGTAGAGTAGAGTAGGGCCAAGTAGGGCTAAGTAGGGCTGGTGGAAAAGGGGCTTTAGAAATACTATAGAGAGATAACAAAGCAACTAAATACATATGAATATATATAGTTACCATAATAACCATATAGCAACACAAAACTAGTCATTGAAGCCATTTTAGAACATTCGGGAGACATAAAAGACAAATCTAACACGAGTAAAGGGCAACTAGACAGCTAGCAGCTAAGACGGATCACGGCTAATTATTCAAACCGCTTCACGACGACTGCTACTTCTGTATGATAAAAGGTGTCCTATCACAAAAGGCCACGAATCTCCGCAAAAAGAAAAAAATAAAGTTTGAACAGAAAAGGAGTACGTAGGAAAAGACCACAGACCCAGACAAAAGAACGATTTAGTGCAGAACAGTAGAAGACATTGAGATCTAGCCGATTAGTGGAGATTTGAGTCTAGTCATTACCATTCTCATTGCTATAGTTCATCAGCATGCCAACAAAGACTGTCAAGAGCTTCTCACTGTCGGCGTCAGTGTTTGGGGACAGGGACTTAATGTGGTCAACTACTAAGGGGGCGCCTCCTGCCTGGTCAACTGCACTCCTGCCCTCATCTGCAAAACAAACAGCCGGGACACAGGTCAGCCACACACACACACACACACACACACACACACACACACACACACACACACACACACAAACAGCAACACACATGGAGCCTACGCGGTGTGGTGAGAGTGGTGTGTATGTAGTGCCTGGCATGGACTGACGCGGTACAGATATGGTTAAGACTGATGGTCGGGTTTGTGTGGAATATTTACATTTAAAACATAGGTTCTTGGGGTTTAGTTGGAACCGTTTGAAAGATGGTCCAGTGTGTGAATATTTGAGAGGTGACGCAAATGTATACTTCTAGAATGATGTACTTTATTTAGGCAGGAAAAATCCCATTGAGATGCAAATATCTCTTTTCCAAGGGTGTCCAGGGCAAGAGGCATTCACATTACAACCCTCAAGATAACATAACATAGACTTTATTGATCTCACAATGGAGAAATATATAAAAATATGTATACACAATGATACAAGAATATACAAGAAGCCAGTTGCAGATCCCATTAAAGCTGGCAGTTATTCTGTGTGGTGATTTTAATCTGATTTTGAATGCTTTGGAGAACCAGTTTGACACCACTGGTCTCGTCCAAGGTCCGGGAATGGCAACAGGTTCTCATTCCAACCAAGCGTGAGCACACCATACTTCACCCATTTCCTCAAGTGAATCCAGTCTGAACCTGGAGACTCGAGGAAATGGGTAGAGTCCGTTGTGCTCCTGCTTGGTGGGAAATTAAAACCCGCAATTTTGAAAGGAGCCCTGGTGTGTACTATCTGGTGCACACTGGGGTATTCTTGCACGGTTCTTCCCATGTGGTTTTACTGCAAATGGTAAATACATTCTTGAATTTCAATCCTTTAAAGTCTTGTTCACATTAGATTCCCATTGTCTTTTGTTTAACCTCCTCCAGGGGGTATTGTGTGTGTTGGAAACAAATGGATGTAATTTTGGAAGTGATCTGGATTGTTGTCTGGATCCAGGATTTCTTTAAGGATTTCTTCATACCTGCCAGTTTGACGTTTTACATGTAGTCTGTTCATCCCTATTCACTCATTGTCCCTCGGTCTGTTCCATAATCTCACTCTTGAGACCCAAAACCCTGAAGACTCCCTGAAGACTAGTCCCCAGGCTGCCGTTGAAAGTTGGAAGCTCTAAGATCTCTAGAGGCGAGTGTTGTGATTTTGGGCGATAAAAAAATAAAATGTATTTGATTTTCCGCACTACTGTTGCCTTCTTAAAGCTGGTTGTTTATGTTTTTACCGGGAAGTTTGGACTGTTGGGGAGCAGTCTTCCTCAGAGTGGTCTGGTGATGTTTTTCTGTCAGCTTTTGGCACAGTCTTCCAACCACCAGAGGCAGGACGACAGCGCCATCTGCAGTTTGTCAGACTACTAGGAGTGCTTTTATAGTTTTATCCCTGCCATTCCATTACTATTAGCAAGTATGTACGCAAGATTTATTTACACAGCGAATTTCACAGACTGTACTACCTATTACCACTACTACTAGAATGAAAATTGTATGAACACAAAGCAAGAAACGCAAGAATAATGACTCTCCCTTATCTCATGATTAAGCCGCTGTGATGCGATGCCAGAGAAGTCTGTGTCGACCAGAGACGCCGAGTCTTGTTTTGTTTGTCGGATCCCACATGGACGCGCTGTGAGCTGAAATCTGTCTGCTGCTTTCGTTTATTTGTTCGCTAATTAATACTTACAGGAGCGGCAAGACACAAATCACATCTCCAAAACAAAACACACTGTACTGGTTTGTCCCGGGAGATTTCACCGCACTTTCATTACCGGGAAGCGAGGCATGAGTCAGCGGACAGCAGCGTCACCCCTGATAATAGACCTGGTGCTTAAAACTAAACGCAGAGCCATAATACTGCACTGCCAAGGCCTCTCTGCTTTATCCATGTCAGAAATATGTCAGATTATCCAGTTTGTGTGAAAGAGTGCATTGTCTGTAATTAGTTAGATTCATGTCACACCTGCAGAACACAAGTTGAATGAATGAATGAATGTTTAATTTGGTAAACTGTTTGATTAATAACATTACAATACAATATAACATTACATTCACTGACTATATTACGTGTATTCTGTGAGCCCAACCTGACATCACATCACATACAGGTCACTAACTACATACACAATAAAATACAAGTATATACAGTGCCTTGCGAAAGTATTCGGCCCCCTTGAACCTTTCAACATTTTGCCACATTTCAGTCTTCAAACATAAAGATATAAAAAATGTATTTTTTGTCATGAATCAACAACAAGTGGGACACAATCGTGAAGTGGAACAAAATTTATTGGATAATTTAAACTTTTAAAAAAAATAAACTGAAAAGTGGGGCGTGCAATATTTTGAATGAATGAATGAAATGTTTTTATTTCGAGTTCAATATACACAACTGAGATTTACAATACACATTTATTTTAAATAACCAAGTATCAACTCGAAAAAGGAGTGAGAAGAAGTAAAACTTATATACTCCCACCCCTGTAGGCTATATCTCGTAGTCATCAGTAGAATTTTCTGCTTTTTGCAAATTAGCAAACGTACTTCACCTTAACCTATGCTAGAAGATACAGATAATAATAATGATAATAAAATAAATAATGATACATTTATAGTCTCTATATCTCTCTGTCTATACATCTATATAAACATAATTTAAGCTTACACTATAGGCATGTAACACATCTACATGTTTTCTGTTTTAATTATCTAAATATTATATAGTTTTTATTTTTTATTTATTTATTTTCCTATATTTGCCCTTTTTAATATTACTCCCCAGACATTGTGGTTTCCATTATACTAAAGTAGTAAGGTTATTGCCCTCTCTAAGAATATCGAGCCAAAATGGTTTCTTTGTTTTCCTTTTTAAATTTTCTCATGTCTGGATACATAGAGACACAAAACATACTGCTCTCGCAGGCTTGAATTTGAATTTACTTTTAAGTTATATACACCATCTCTGGATACAAACATGTTTTGATTTGATTAGGTAATTTGTTATAATTTGCTTTGTACATTATTAATACTGTTAGATAATCAACTAGATCATTGAATTTAGTATTTTTGCCTGTTTAAATAAATCATTTGTGTGCTCCCTGAAACCCACTTTGTGAATGATCCTGATAGCTCTTTTCTGAAGACAAATTTATGGATATATAGCAGTTTTGTAATTGTTTCCCCAAACCTCAGCGCAATAGCTCAAATATGGTAACACTAATGTACAATATAATAAATAAAGAGATCTTTGATCCAGTTTCTGTCTAGCTTTGGCCAAAACTCCAATACTTCTGGCTAGTTTGGCATACACGTATCTAATGTGTGCTTTCCAGGTAAGTTTCTCATCGATTATCACCCCTAAGAATTTGTTTCACTAACCCTCTCAATATTTGTGCCATCTAACAACAACATTTATATCAGAATTTATTTTCTATTTCCAAAGAACATTAGTTTTGTTTACTTAAATTTAGAGATAATTTGTTACTGTTGAACCAAGACTGTAATTTCCTCATTTCCCCTGCTATATTGGCCAGTAATGTCTTCAAATTTACATCTGATAAAAAAATATCTTGGTGTCATCTGCAAATAATACGAGCTTGAGTAGTTTTGACACATTACATATATCATTGATGAACAAATGAAAAATTTAGGTCCAGCACTGACCCCTGTGGGACACCGCAGGGAATGTGCAGACATGAGGAGCACTTTTCATTCATCTTCACAAAACTGTTTGCCTGTCTGTTAGATAGCTCTCTACCCAGTGTGAAGCCACACCTCTGATACCATACTGCTGTAATTTCTGTATTAACATTTTATGATTTATGGTGTCGAATGCCTTTTTTAAATCAATAAAAATACCAATTGCATATTTCTTATTATCTAGAGGAGTTTGTGATTTCTTCTATTGTATCAATTAAAGCCAATGCAGTTGAACTTTGAGCCCTGAGCCATATTGACTCTCAGAGAGAATGTCATGTTTGTGAATAAATTTTTCCAATCTTTTTACAAAAAAGTTTTTCTAGTATTTTAGAGAATTGTGGCAGTATAGAGACAGGTCGGTAATTTGTGAAGTGATGAACATTGCCAGTTTTATAAAGAGGGATAACTTTTGCCTTTTTCATTTTTGTAGGGAAGATGCCCGTCTGGGAATGAAAGATTAAATATATGCACCAATGGTTTGGCAATTACATCAATCACTTTTTTCCACCACCACTATATCCACTCCATCACAGTCTGCTGACTTCTTATTATTACATTCCCTAACTAAATTCACAACCTCAGCTTCATCAACAGCACTTAGAAATATTGAATGTGGATTTGTCTTCATGAAATGATTTACGTCATTTCCTAACGTTCCAGTATCAGGAACTTTAGTTGCAAGCTCCGGCCCAATATTAACAAAATACTCATTGAATCTACTGGCTATTACCTCTTGATTATATTCCTCTCTACCCTTGAAGTCAATGAAGTAATTTTTGGATAGTTCTTTCTTTGTGTTGAACCCTTTTTAATAATATCATTTAGAATGTTCCATGTTCCCTTGGAATTTAGTTTATTCTTTTCTAATGAATCTCTATAATAACCTTTTCTGCATTCTTTATAATACTTGTCAGTTTGTTTTTATAAGTTTTTATATGTTTTATCTGCTTCTTCTGTTCTTTTTACCAGGAACTGCTTTATATAGTCTGTTCTTTTTTTTGCATGCTTTAGCAAGACCCTTAGTTATCCATGGACAGTCATTTCCTTTCCTTCTTCTTTTGTATCTCTGTATCGGTCAATTTTTATTAAATGCTTGACTAATATATTATCTAAGAATTTATTGTAGGCCATATTGGTGTCAGAGCTACCGTATACATTTTCCCAATTTTGATTAAGCAGGTCATTTTTGAAAGAAATTAATGCTTCTGCTGATTTGACTCTCCTTTACTCAGACTTTGTGTCTACTTTCGTTTTATTGTGACACTCATTTA